AAGGGGCACAGGTGAATAAACCTAAAAACTGTAGCAGCGTGAGCCTCTCTGAGGATTAGCACTGGAAGTTTGGCTCGGGGGTGTTACCAGGGGAGGGCAAGTGTGAGGAGGCACCTTCCTGCCAAGTGGGGGGCCTCCTTTTGCTGCCACGTGGATGGAGGTCATCTTCCTTCTCCTTGTACATTAAACAAAAATCCCCAGACTTCGGACGCCAGCATTCAGGCTGCTCTGTTCCCCACCCCCTCGGATACCTTCCCTAGAGATTTCCAGAATGCTGGATTCCTCTTCTCTCAGCTTGGCTGAAGGAGCAGGAAGTGGAACTCTCTGGAACAGTGTCTGGTGTTTGGATAGCGAACTGCTTTCCCAGGGCAAGCAGGCTTTTGCAAGGCGCTTGCTAGGTGTAGGTCCTACTTACTTTGGGACCTCACGGGGTGTGGAGGACAGAGAAGGCTACCTGGGGTCGGGACTCCCCGGTGACAGGCTCCAAATTCTTCAGAAGAAGCTGGGGAACCCCAGAGGCCAGACCACCCCTTTAGAGCTGTGGGTCAGGCAAGCTTCCCTCACATAGCCTCAGTGATTTATCTGTCTGAGGGGGTGGAATGGAGGACAGAGGTGGTGAGGTGGGAAAAGGTGCCTTACCAAACATCCTGAGGATGGCATGTTGTCTAAATTTGGGTTTTCCCCAAAGCCAAGCAACAGATTTTAATTTTTCCCATCCATTCCTCATCACAGTCTCTCCACCCAGACATTTTCTCAGCTTGATTAAAAATGCATTCAGAAGCACCAGTCATTTCCAGAAACTTCCCCCACCTCTTCCGCTGGTGCAGTGACTTTCTGTGTTTATATTATGCTTTTGTGTGTGTGTGTGTGTGTGCTGATGTGCTTGCCCAGACTTAACAGTCTGAGGAGACTTGAGCTGAAGTTTTGCATTCCTTTCTCTTTTGCTCAGAAACCAGGCTTCCATTTTGCACACTGTTCTGAGGCCTGCACAGCCATTACTTTCCTGATCGCTTATGGGCCTTTGAGCTGATTCTGTCTTTGAGCTCTGATCCAGGGAGGGGCCAGTGCTCACAGCTGCCACCTGGGGAGGCTCCAGTGCTCCCAGCTTCCACTCAAGGGTCCAGCACTAACAGGTCCTACCCGGGGAGGGTCCAGAGTTCACAGCTCCCACCCGGGGAGAGTCCAGAGCTCATAGATCCCACCGGGAAGGGTCCAGAGCTCACGACACCAGGCTGACAATTTATCTAAACTTTTCCAGTTTGTCAGCATCCCAGCATCCACTTGATTCCTGGTGAGGAGTGCTTTCCATGCTATTCTGACTACATTTTCTCTCTGGAGTGTGTTCTGCTCTTATCTTGCTCCCACACTGGGACAGGGCAAGTGGCACTGAGAGGCTGAGAGCATGCCTGTGGGTCCTTCCCTGGGTGCTGCCTACCTGCTGCCCACATTTGAGGCCCGTGGAGTAGACTGTTCGGGATCCAGTGTCTGGGGAACACATATTAAATGGGGTTATTAAAGACACACTTATTGAACGCACACCGAGCCTCCCAAGAATTCTCCTGTGTAATCACAATAAATACATTTTTAATGACAGGTCTGGTATTTACATTCTGGAAATGGCTCTGGGAAATCGAAGCTGAATGCATTTTTAATTGTTCTGTGTTTAATGGGCCTCACGTCAGCGGCATCTCCCCCACGGCTTCCTTGACCCATCAGCACCTTCTGTCTGCATCCTTCACCGGGCTTGGGTCCTTTGACCAGCACAGTGGGTTGGGAGAGACAGTCCCACCTTAAGATGTGCTGGCTGGCACCGGGGAGTTGGAGTCACCTGCCCCCCTCCTACCCTGGGCTCACAGGGCCTGGTCGAGGCCTCCTCACTCAAACCAGAGTTGGTATGTTCTGTCCATCCTTAAAACCCTGGGCAGTGGCTACTGTGCCTACTGGAACAAATGACCACACCGGGGCACTTAAACAACAGCCATGAACTTCCGTAGTCCTGGAGGTCAAAGTTCAAACCATGGTGTCACAGGGCAGTGCTTCCTCTGTAGACTAGGAAGGCCTGCTATGCCCCCGTCAGGCCCTGGTTGCTGAGTCACTGAGCCCTTACCTCTGTCTTCTGTGTGTGTTCATGTGTATATGGGTGTACATGTGTGCAGGTACATATTATGTGTGTACACACTGTGAGGTGTATATGTATGTGTGTGCACATGTGTGCAGGTGCATATGTATGTGGGTACACACGATGCAGGTACGTATTTATGTGGGTACACACTACACAGGTGCATATGTATGTGGGTACACACTGCGTAGGTGCATATGTATGTGGGTACACACTGCGTAGGTGCACATGTATGTGGGTACACACTGCGTAGGTGCATATGTATGTGGGTACACACTGCACAGGTGCATATGTATGTGGGTACACACTTCACAGGTGCATATGTATGTAGGTACACACTTCACAGCTGCATATGTAAGTGGGCACACACTGTGCAGGTGCATATGTGTGTGGGTACACACTGCACACATGCATATGCACCTACACACACGTGTCTGTGGAAGCAGAGGTCAACCTTCGGTGCCATTCCTTTGGAGGCATTCACTTTTTCAGTGTTGTTTTTAAGGCAGATCTCTCACTAGCCTGGAGCTGGCCCAGGAGACTAGGCTGGCTGATGAGCAAGTCTAGGACCCCCCTAGCTCTAGGCCCCAGCTCTAGGATTAGATGTGTGCACTCCAGTGCCTGCCTTTTTCATGTGGGTTCCGGGGATTGAACTCGGGTCCTCCTGTTTGCCCGGCAGGCACTCTGCTGACTGAGTTACTGCTTCAGTCCTCTGCCTCTGTTGTCACATGACCTTGCTGTGGGTTCCTAAAGACAATGGCTGCTGGTTTAGTGCCTGGCCAGATGTTTTGGGATGTTGTCATCTCAAGAATCTTAGCTACCTCTGTAAACCGCCCCCTCCCCCCCGCTGTTCATGGGGTTCAGGACATGGACATCTCTTTGAAGGAGCTACCATTCAGCCGTGGCATGATCCATCATTAAGCTCTGGGGATGCCATCTGTATGGTTTCCTAAATGGCCACTGGTCCTTGCCCTGTCCTCTGTCTTCCAGCCACTCTCTTTGTCCCTCTTCATCCACAGCTACACCCCTGCTGTCCTCCCCAGCTGGCTACTGTGCCACCACCCCACCTTTCCCAGAAAGACCCAGGGCCTTGATAAACAGTCTGGTGCTGCTGATGGACTCAGTCCTACCTCGTAGCTCACGCCTGCCCATCCCAACCCTCTGCCCAAACCCCTGGTGGCCTAGGTGTCAGGATTGGCAGGCAGAACTGGAGCCGCCGCAGGGGTGTGGGGACGTGGGTGTTCCTGGACTCTGGAGAGTTCGTGTGATGTTTGCATCTACTCTATAGTCAAGCTGCAGATTCAGGAGATGAAGAGAAGGGAAGGGAAAGAGACGTCCACAGCAAAGTGCCCTGTGAGTGCCGCCCACCCTGCCCTCTGGGAGAGTGCTGCTAGGCCTGTCCCTGCTTGAGGACCCCGCTCCCCACCCCCAGGCAAGGCACAGCGGTGTGGTGAGTGCCTCCTGGAACTGAATGGGCTCCAGGACTCTGGGTTCTCAGTGTTAAAACTGGGCCATCTCTATGCACAAATCTGTCCCCTGAAACACTGAAGACCAGCCCCTCAGGAGGCCCTGCTCAGTACTGTGCCTGGGGTTTGTGTTTTCAGCCTTCCCCTCACTATTGTCCTCAGCCTTTTAAAGCTTGCTTTCCTAATGGCCTCCCACACAACTGTGGTTTCACTGAAGCATCCTGCATGTGTGTTCTTTATGTGTGGGACTCACATCCTTCAGGCCCTTCAAGAACCAGTATTGGCCACCTGGGGGCGCTGTTTACCCCCAGTGAATGTGCCTGGTGTGGAGAAACTAGCCTTGCTTCCCTGGCCAGGACTCAGGGTCTAGATGAAATCCAGATCTGGATGCCAGGCTCTAAGGTAGGATCTTAGGCTGCATTCTAACAAGCTCTAGGAAATACTGATGCTGCCTGTCCATAGGACAACATGCCTGGTGGTTCGGGAGCACCTGGGAGTCTGTGGTGAAAAGCGGCCCACGGGTAGAATCTGGTCAAGCTGGACCCTGTCCATCTAGGAGTCTCTCTGTGTGTGCTGCCTGCTGTCTGACACGCACTTAGTATTATTCCTTAGTTCTGATTCTATCCTCATTCGGTTCAGCTCACAGCTTTCCCCTAAGGAGCTGCCCTGTGCAGAACCCCTGCCCCCAAGGGGGACCCTGTCACCTCTCTCATTAAAATTTCTGTGTTCTTACTTACATTGCCTCTGCCACTACTAGATATAAGCCATTTGAGCATGGAGACCTGTCAAGTCCATATGGTTGATCACAGGATGCTGTAACCAAGCTCTGATTGGTGCTAGGCATGCATGTGGGGCCGGACTGTATGGGTGGGTGGACAGATGGGTGAACTAATGAATGGGAGGTGATAGATATGTAGATGTGTGGATGTGTAAATGTATATTGGCTAGCTGGATAAAATGATAGCTGGGTAGGTGGGTGGATGAGTGGATAGACAGATGGGCAGACAGACGAGTGGATGCATGCATGTGTGAATGAATGATAGTGATAGTGGGGTTTTAGGAAACTCCTGGGACCTAGAAGAAGAAGGAAGAGGAGGAGGAGAAGGAAGAAGAAGAGGAGGAGGAAGAAGAGGAAGAAGAAAAGGAGGAGGAGGAGGAGAAAGAAG